GAATGTAACTTTTCGTGACGTCTCTTCATCACACCCTGTGACAAGCAGCTTGATTCCCTTCTTCTTATGTTAACAGTCCACTGTATTCCACATTTTATCACTCACCTCCCAATGGCAGAATCTGCATGTTGACTATGCTGAACGGGAGTGCAGGTGTCTCTCTGACATACTGATTTCAGTTTCTATGGGTATATAACCAAGTAGTGGAATTGCTGGATTATAATCTTCTGTTTCATTTACCCCCTTATTTGCTAATGTATTTTATTTCATTTATATTCTTTTTTTTTTCTTTAATAGGTTAGCTAAATTTTGTCAATTTTGCTTCTACCACCAGGGTTCCTTGGTGGGCCTGGTGCTAGAGTCTCCAACAAAGATGGGTGTGCATAATCTTCTTCCTCCACATGCTTGGGGAGAGAGGAGCATGGGCTGGTGAGCTGCCCTTTCTCCATCACAAATCCTCTTTCTTTTGTCTGTGCTGCCTATAGATGCTGTCTGCTCACCTGGACTCCTTAGCTCCTGTAAAGGAATTTTTGAGTCGTTATGCCAAGTGGTGTTTCCAGATGGGGACAGATGCTGGGAACTTCTTTCCTGCCCCCTTGCTGCTGACACTCCCAGTCTCTAACATTTGGGCTTATTCTGCTTGGAATTCCTGGAGCTTACTGATGTACAAACTAATGCTTCTCACAGAACCTGGACGGCGTTTAGTCTTTCTTCCTCTCCCTCCTCTCTCTCCTCTCCTCATTCTCGCTGTGAGACTGGTGTGAGCAAAGGACGTCTCACCTTCTGGGAGGCTCTTCCTGTTTTATTTCTCTTCAGATTATGCAATCTGGAAGCATAGCTACAGAGATGTTGACTTTTTTTCTTTTCAGTGCTGGGGACTGAATCCAGGGCCTAGGGCATGCTAGGCAAGTGCTTTACCACTGAGCCGCAGCCTGGTCTTGAGTCTCTGTTCTGCTGAAATCTAATGTGTTTTTATGTGGCTGAGAGAGGAGGTGGATGAAAGGGAGGAGAAGGGGAAAGGGGGGAGAAGGGGAGAGGGAAAGGAAGAGGGAGAGGGGAAAGGGGAGAGGGAGAATATCGATCCATCCATCTTCTGGTGTTTCTCAAAAGGCCAATAATCCTTCATAGTCTCTCCTATCCCCCATGACCTCATCTCAACCTTATTGTCTGTCAAAGGCCCTATCTCCAAATATGATCACATTGGGGTTCAGGCTTCAGTATGTAGATTGGGGGGGGTGTACACAGGAAACTTTAGTAGCCTTCAATACTTTTGAGGTAGGGCTCTGTTATCAGAAAAAAAAATGTGTGTTCAGTCCATTGATTATATGGGTTAAGTTTTTCTGTAATTTTTTTTTGTCCACTTGACCTCTGCCATGTAGAGCAGAAGCAATACCTCCAGTTCTTGGGTAGTTTGTGAATTTCTCCTTATGCATCCAGAACTTTCTATCGGAAAGCTGGCTGCTGTACTGTGTCCATATACTCACTGGTGACACATTAGCATTGTGAATCGTGGATTTTGTCATGACCAAGTAGACTCCTTGAGTAGACTCAAGCATTTTGTGTGAATACAATGTTTTCTGATCTCACTTTCCAGCCTTGCTTCCCTACTGAGCTGTGTGCTGCATACACTTACATCTGTGTATTTTCAGCCATTTGGAATGGCTCTGACTTTGCTGGATCTCCTGAGTACAGCACCAAGCTGGCATTTGCCCTGTGAGTCAACCCCTAAGTTTTCCTTTGAGAGGTGAGTTTCTATTTACATGTGAGGAAGTAAGGGGCATTTGGCTTAATCTTTTATTGTTCCATTTGCCTTGCTTTCATGTGTAGTCTGTTTCCCTGGCTCTTTAAAACAGTCATTTACTATTGGAACATCTTGAAACTGTGTTGTCCTGTTGGCCTCAATCTTGTTTTGAGTCGCCCTGTTTGTGTCTGCACCCATGTTTCCTCTTTAAGGACACGGTCACTCTGAATTAGGGGACACCTAGTCCAGCAAGGCTTCATCTGACTGGTAAATCTGCATGACCCTGTTCCTAAGTCAGGTCACACTTGGAGACACCAGAGGCCACACTGGGAGACACTGAGGTCACATTTGGAGATACTAAGGGTTACCGAGACATATTGGGGGTACGTCAGCGTACAGCACAATTTCTAACCTTTAAAAGAAAATCTGTGGTGCTTGCCTCAAACTCTGTCCTTTGATTCTACAAGCTAGTAAGACTGTGGTTTTACTAGGTTTTAGTCAGCTGTATGACGAGGACTGTGGGTTGCCCTCGGGATAAGAGCCACCCAAATGGAAAACTTACACTGTGCTGTTTGTCTCGCCTACCAAGGGTCTAACCCCTTCCATGTCTGTCTGACTTCAGTTGCTCTCCTTCAGCTGTCTTGAGAAGAATTAGTTGCAGGAAGACTAGTCCAAAGAACCTCTTCTACCTGACTACAGGCTTGACACTGCCCTGGGATGTCAGTCTGCCTTGTTCTGTACTGCGTTTTTGAATTTATAATTCTAGATGTTTTTGTTTGCATTCCTGCAAATGTTGAGTTCAGGTTGTTACTGTGCGTCAGTTTCTTCCCACTTCATTTTGTGGAAGAGAATTTTGATTTTTTACTTTATATTTTTTATAGTGATTTTAGGTGTTTGCAGTTTACAAATTTCCTGTTCATTTGGAAATGTACTTTTTCTCTTTTTTTTCCTGGACTCACGGGCAAGGAAGGGTAAGGGCTTTAGATGGTTTACCACATTGCTAGCTCAAGAGCACCCTCTTCTGTTGACTTGAGAGAATTGTGGCTTTTTTAATACTACAATTTTCTTTTGATTTTGTTCTACCAGTTATTGTTTTTAATTTAAAAATATACTTCTGGGCTGGAGAGATGGCTCAGCAGTCAAGAGCACTGACTGCTCTTGCAGAGGACCTGGGTTTAATTCCCAGCACCCACATGGTGGCTACAAACCGTCCTTAACTCCAGTTCCAGGGGAATCCGAAATCCTCTTCTGATCTCCACGGCACTGTACAACATGGGTGCACTTACTTACACGCCAGCAATACACTCATACACATAAAATAAAAATAATAAAATATTTTTGGCTGCTAATAATGCATTATTTCTTGATCTATGTGGTGATTGCAAGGGTGCACTCATTTTGTGAAAATTTAGTGAGCTGCAACTTTATTGACATATGAGAGTTGCACTTTAGTGTTAAATATTCACAAGTCCATTACTTCTCTAGAGACGAATGGGTGAAACAGTATTGAAGAAAACTGTCTTCTGTACTCCAATTTATGGAAGACTTTTTTTTAAAGACAGGGTTTTACTATGTAGCCCCGGTGAGCCTGGAACTTGTTTTGTACACCAGGCTGGCCTCGAACTCACAGTGCTCCACCTGCACTTACAAATGCTGGGATTAAAGGTCTGTGTCACTACACTCTGCTTGGACTGCCCATTTTTGTCCATTTGTTACTCTAAAAGTTGTAATCTATCCATATATCCAAAAAGTGTACGTTTTAAATACACTTAGAGGTATCTTATACCAGGCTTGTTTTCAAATAATTCAGTGCATACTATGGGTCTTTTCATAAAATTCCCTTGTCATTCATGCATTATTTATCTTGATTTCCCTGTAGGTGGCTGATGTCCAGATCAAGTAACTTTTAGTGGAAGATAACCATGCAGAGGAGCTGTCCTTTTATTTTCCATTCAAACCAGCACAGCCTGGCACCTCTGACAAGTCTCTCCACTGCTTCGTACAGTAGAAGTGGAAAGTTGGTTCTCCCTTCCACCATGTTATGGCTGGTCTCCCGTTTCTGTTGCACTTCATACTCCAGAGCAGGTGGTCCTCAAGCTTCGAGGCAATTCTCCTGCCTCCACCTCCGATCTCAAAGTAGGCATGCTGAGATTACAGATGCATGCTATTGCATCTGACTTTTTTTTCTTTTTGAGACAGAGCCTCCCTGCAGCCCCACTTGCCTGGAACTCACTATGTAGACCAGGCTGGCCTCAATCTCACAGAGATCCACCTGCCTCTGCCTCCTGAGTGCTGGGATTAAAGACGTGTGCCACCACACTCAGCTGGCATCTGACTTTTTAAGTGGGTTCCTGGGATTGAACGGGTTGCCAGGCTTACATTGCTAGCACCTTTACCCACTGAGCTACCTCTTCCGTCCCTCTAATTTCCATCTTTCTGCAAGCTCCATCTGGTGTACCTGCAAAACACATCCTCCCAATTCCCACTTCTAGATGGATACATTGATCTGTTAATCCCAGTACTCAGAAAGCTGAGGCAGGACACAATGAACTTGAACCCAATCTGGGCTAAATATTGAGACTCTGCCTCTAATGAAAATCCACTTCTATTTTGCCTACTAGCAATGAAGCTGAAGTCATCATCATCTGTCACTATTGTGGCTTTGTAAGTGGGTTCTGTGGCTCCACATTTGCCCTCTCCACACATCCTCCACACAATAGCAAGAATGAGCCCTTTAAAACGGACTCTGCATGATGCTATATTCTCCTGCCACCAGTAGCTTGTCTTGAGCCCCAAGGTTTTTAAAAAATATATATGGAGTGTACTGCCTGCATGTACGTAAGCACACCCATGTCATACAATGTCCACAGAGGTCAGAAGGGAGCATCATATCCCCTGGAACTGGAGTTACAGACAGTTGTTAGCTGCCATGTGGGTGCTGGGAATCAAATCCAGGTCCTCTGCAAGAGCAGCCAGTGCTCTTGACTGCTAAGCCATCTCTCCAGCTCCCTGAGCTCCAGGTTTTTGACCACTGTCTACAATGTGCTTGCTCTGGCCTCTGCCTGCCTCTCTGATCATAGTTCTTGCTGTTTTCTTCTCACCCCTCTTCCCACTGGCATTCTTTTTGTCCTTTGCTTTCATGGCAGGGTCACTGTACTTGGAAGTTTCTTCAGTCAGAAATATTCTCCTGTGCCTTCCACAATCTCATCTTCTTCACTAAACAGGTCTTATCCAAAATGACATTAAGGTGAGAACTCACCCTGTCTCCATGTCATCAGGAAAGGTTGGCAGTGGCTTCAAACAGGGAAGGTTTATGTCCTGCTGGTTCCACATGCTGCGGGTTGGCTGACACCCATGATCCATGATGTCCTCACTCCAGGCTGAGGGAGCATCTGCTGTTTGGAACAAGGACAGTCATTGTGTCAGAGGAAGAGATGGCTCTGGAAGTCTTGAAATGACAACCACATTTGGCCTGAAAATAACACTCATTGTTTGTGCTGAGGAGTCAGTGGCTAAAACCAGTGATGCAGTCCCACTCAGCCATAGGGAATCGAAAGGGCAACCCAGCAGGTGTTCTGAAGGAGGTCTGATGGCTATCAGTCTGATTATTTTGTTTCCACAATGTTTCTCTGGTTTGAGTGATAGTAAACAAATGTATGTATCCATTACTCACTGAGAAATTTTAAAATCATTTTGAGACCTCAGAAGCTCTTTAAAATTCTTTTGATTTATGTATATGAGTGTTTTGCCCACATGTATGTAAATGTACCACATGTGTGCAATGCCCACAGAAGTCAGAAGAGGGTGTCAGATCCCTGGGATATAGAGTTATGGACAGTTGTTACCTGCCACATGGGTGCTGGGAACCAAACCTCAGTCCTTTGCAAGAACAGCCAGTGAGCTGAGCTGAGCCATTTCTCCAGCCCCCAAAAGCCCCTCTTCATTGTGTTCTTTCATCTCTAAGGAGCTGCCACTGTCCTAACTTTTGAATTAATGATACAGCTGTAGTTTAGCTCCCAAGTGTTTCCCAAAGGTTTGTGTGGTATGGGCTTGGTCCTCAGTGTGCTGCTATTGGAAGGTGGTGGAAAGTTTTGAGGTGGAGTTTAGTGGGAAGTCTTCAGATCATTGGGGGAGTATGCCCCTGAAGGGGATTGTGGTACCTTAGTCCTTTCCTCTTTTTCTTCCCAGCCATGAGGTGAACAATTTTGCTCCATTATAACCACATGGTCCCACTATAATGCAGTGCCTCACCACAGGCCCCAAAGCAATGGAACTAAGCAGTCATGGTGCAGAACCTCCCAAACTGAGCCCCAATACACCCTTCTAAGTTGATTATCTAAATGTAACATGGAGCACCAGGCACAGAGGAATGTCACATAGTGATGGTTGAATTAGAAGTCCTTTGTTAGCAGTCAGAGAGGGGGCCAATGTCAAAAAGAACTCTTGACCCTGAGAGGAGGCAGAGTAGGGTTTATAAATTCTAAAACCACAATTATATCATTCCAGGGGCAAAGCCAATAACCATCAAATCACCACAGTTACACCAGACGAGGGGCAGATCAATTAGAAAAGAGGTTTTCAGTTAACACAAAGTTTCAGTTAGGACAAACAAGTTTCTCAGAATTGCAGGACAATGGGCTCCAGGGAGATACAGGAATAGCTGGGTTGGAGGTATAGCTGGATACCTCTAAGTTTCCCTGTATTACAGAAACAATGTACTCCCTGAAACTACAGGTGTGGCCTTCATGGCTAGCTGGCTGCAGTGGGAGTGGCAAATGCACAGGGTAAAGCAAAAGTCATTTAGAACAAAATGGAGCTAGTTTTGCCATTTCACTAAGAACTTATCATAATAATGGAAAGCTGATAAACACAATTACCATGCTTTTATTCATTGTTTTGATATGGATGTCTATGTATACATATGTGTGTACATGTTGGTGGAGTACATGCTTGTCCATGCACATGTGGAGCCTAGAGGTTGATGTTGGTATGCCTTTCTCAATTGCTTCCATCTACTTTTTTGATAGGGCATCTTCACTGAACCTGGAGCTCGTCATCTTGGCAGGCTGGCTGGCCAGCAGACCCTGAGGGTCTGCCTGTCTCCACCACTCAGCACTAGGGTTACAGCTACTCACAAGCACACTTGGCTTTTTTATATGGGTGCTGGGGATTAAAACTCAGGTTTTCACGATTTCTCAGTGAGCACTTACCCATGAGCCACCTCCTCCGCCTCCAATCTGTCATTTTTGTTTTACCACCTAACCAAGCATTCTTTTAGTTTTAGCCATTTTGGACTCATAAAAATGGCTGTATTTTGGCTTCTTTCTTTCTTTCACTAAATGAAATATTTATGTTTTATGTATCATTTAAATGCATCCATGTTAACGTTGGGCATCTACCAGGTATGTATACTATTTCTGTGAGTATGTGAATATCTAAGTTGTGGGAATGAAGCTTCTGAATTATAGAGTGTGTACATGCTGATCTCTACCAGATAATGTGGAACTGCTTTCAACAGTGGTTGTAGGTAAACATTCTACCACTAAGCTATGTCCCCAGCCCCATTTATCCACGGTGGTGGTAAAATGCACTTCTGACAGTATGACCCACCTGCTTTACTAACACTTGGGATTGTAGACTTTAATTTTTGCCAGTCCAGTGGGAATGCAAGGGTTTTGAGGGAGGAAGAAAAATTTGGGATAGATTAGAGGACTGAGTGAAAAACAAATGAGCAATGAAACTTATTAACCGTGATTACTCAGTCTGACTCAGGGTGACCATCTCCAAAGCAATGTGCGATGGTGTCTCCTCATGGGCACAAGCAGATGGATTGGAGCAATAGAGCCCAGAGTCAAACTGAAGGAAGTTGTTTATTTATGCCTCAGAAATGACTCGTCACAATCATGATTGAAAACTGGTTAGTGTCTACCACAACCACTCACTTCCCTTTCACTCTGTAATAATTCCCTTAAAAGATGACACTTAAAACCAGACACCACTTTTCTTACCTTGAAATGATCTTATAGAAGTTTCTTACTCTATTCCAAAGACTTGTTACTAAAGTACTTCCCTATTACCCTCAAAAAACAGTTCATTCCCACACCTCCATAAGAGGAAATCAAATATACAACTTGTTATAACTTATATTGAAGGGAAGTTCATATTTAATTAAAATGCTTTATAATGGCTTTTTTTTTTTCTTAAAGAACTTCTAGGAAAGCATTTCTGCAGTTCTCTAGATCCAGCAGGGGGGCATATGGAGGCTGAATGGTATCTGGTTATTAAGAAACGGTGGGGCAGAGTCCTTGTCTTGGAGTTCCTGAGCTGACACCCCAGCAGAACTCGTTCTTCTAGGTGGAGGTAAATGGGGCTGAACGCACACATGTGAGCTGGGAACCAAATATCAAAGTATTTCTTGTTTAGTCCCAAAATGCAACATTTCTGTTTTCCAAGCTCAGTCGCTTCTCACGATTCGAATAAAAATTGGGCTTTTCCTATCTATAAAGCTTCCTAGTATCTGGACAGACTTTCTTCTAAATCTTCCAAATATTGAAAGAAATAAACACATTTTAAAAATCCTACCTTAGGAAAGAGACCAGGTGAGATGTTTTCATAGTTTCTAGAGTTTTAAGTGACAACTAGACAAAAGTTTGTAAGGCACATTTGGGTGACCCAAATGAGTGCTTCCTGCAAAGGATGCTCTGATTCACAACCGACTAGATCAAATTCTGCAGCGGGGCAAGCTCCCTCAATTCCAGAGCACTATGAAGAGAGGCTGGGTGTGGTGGCACAACATGCCTGCAATTCTAGCACTCCGGAGGCTGGAACATAGCTGCAAGTTCAAAGGTCTACTCTGGGAGCTCCAGGTCAGCCAGGGCTACTTACCAAGTCTCTGAAAAACAAAACAAAACAATGCTCAAACAAAAACAAAATACAAACATAATACTATGACAGTACTTCAGATGTGGGGCACATGGTAGCAAAGGAAGGCAGGAGTTGATCTGCCTGGAGCACTCCTCCCCGCCATGCTATGAAGGTAGACACAGTTGATTGCTATGGTAGGAATCCCCCATGGCTGTATCGTCCAAAACACAGGTAGCTGTATTAGTCAGACTTTCCAACACCATGACAAAATGCCCAACATAAACAGTGATAAGGCAGTCATTTTGCTCATGGTGTCTGAACTCAGTGGTGGACTGATTCTAGTGATGGAGAACACCATGGTGGGCTGGAGGCGGGGGGAGGCATGTGGCAGAGGCTACTCACTGCAGGGTGGCCAGGAAGCAGAGAGAGAAGGAACCAGTATCTTCAGTGGCATACCCTGAGTGACCTACCTCCTCCATAAGGCTCCACCTCTTAAAAGTTTCTAGAATTCAAAACGGCATCATGGCTGGGGTAGGAGCATTCAAAACAAGAGCCTCCAGAAACACTTCATATTTAAGCCTTAACAACGTGTTATCTGACTTTTCAATAAAATTAAAGTTAAAAATCATCTGCTGAAAAGTCACTTGCTCAGTGACACTAACAGCCTTTCAAAGGCTCAGTAGAACACATGGTTAGAGCTGCTGCAGTCACAACATACCTAAACATTTCTGTTACAGCAAAAAGTTCTTCTGGACTGCACTACTGCTCCCTGTACTATGGGGAAGGAGACGTCCCATGTTTTCTTGGTGCCTGTCTTGTTAGTGCATTTCAAGATGAGTCTGGTGGCACAGGCTTGTAACCCAAGCTGTTCAGGAGGCTGTGGCAGGGGGATCACAACTTCAAGCCTTACCTGTGCAGCAGAGTGAATTTATGGGCAGCCTGGCCAACTTAGTGAGACCAGGTCTCAAAATAAAAAGTGAAAAGAGGGCTGGGGCTGTAGCTCAGTGGTAAAGTGCTTGCCCAGCATGCACGAGGTTCTAGGTTCAAACCTTAGCACCAAAAACGAAATCCAAATACTATTTCAAAGACCGGTGCTTTGTTGGCTCTCTCCCTGGCATTTGATTCTTCCTTAGGGACAAGGTACCCCTTGTTTATCTCCACATTCTCCTGTCCTTATGGGAGCCAAGTGACAATGACCTGGTCTCACAGGGCCTGAGGGCCTGTTGGCTTTATTAAGCTCTTGATTGATTCTTCAGGCCACACAGCTATCTTCAATCAACAAGGCTCACAAATGTGCCCCTGGCTCAGGTGAAAGTAGGGCTCATTCCTCCCTCCCAAGGTGCCTCTCTCCAGCCCTGCCCTCTGGGGACTGCATCTGGTATGCTTGCTTTTTTTCTCTCCTGGACATCCTCCATCCCCCAAATCTGGAGCTCACTGCTCTTTGGGTTGGGAGGCCCTCAGTGTACTTAGTAGAGCAGAAAGAAAACTTGCCATTTCTGAAGAAAGAATGGAGGCAGTGAATCCACAGGGC